CTTCCCAACACTGCCTGTCTACATCCATATTTTACACAGTCTGTGATAATGACTTTACCGTATTGAAGGCCAAAGTTAGCTTCATAAAAGAGGCAGGAAAGGATGAACTCAAACACATACCTGCTAATTAGCGCTAAGTAACAGAGTAATCAGATACCAGAATTTTGCTGAACTCTTGGGCTGTCTGTACCCCTTATTACAGCATCCAAATAGTTTATCCAAGAACTACGAATAAATGCCAGGTTGTAAATATGGCCTTTAATGCTATAAAGGTGGACATTTTCCTACGGACGTCTACGGTGACTAGCAACCTATTCAGGGAGCACCACACCTCTCACTATATAGCATGTGGGATATGCTCCCGCCCCCCGTGACCCTGAACTGGATGAGTAGAAAATGGATGGATGAGTATCGATGTACTTTTGGCTCGTGACCCTTAGAGGAACTGCAATGTGGACGCTTCTGGGACAGCGACAGCGACACTCCAGAAGCAGCCAGTGGGTCTAAACAGATGCTCTACCTCCTGAGCTACAGCCAGGACGTAATCAGGACGTTACAGCTGCAGATTAATGCCCATTTAAACACATGAGACTTTAGGTGCCCAGGTATGTTTTAGAACTCTTATCATATAGTTTTGTGCTTGTAATAAGTTTGACCTGCTTTTCATTTCCCGAGGTCATGTGCTATAGTTAATGCGATGTTGCTTTATGCCTCTGATGTACTAATATTTCTCCTTCAGTTTCCCAGATGTCTGCTGGCCAGAAAACAAGCATAAACTTGTTTGATTTAGCTCTTGGCTTCATGTGTAGGTGGAGAGTGCAATAATGATAAAGATAGTAAGAGCAAGAGAGTGAATTTTTTCCACTTGACAACAAGTGAGAGTCCAACATGTCTAGTGGCTGCTTGTTGTTTTACTGTTAAGCCTGCTGTCAGAAGAGAAACTGCTTCTACAACAGATTTCTGCCTGTATGTTTTCCTGATATCTGCTGGAAAGCTACAGAAGAAATTCTAGCTCTTGAGCTCTGAAGGAATTACACCAAAACCTGACAGCTGAGGAAGCATGATATCATGCTGCTATTACACAAAGTTGCCAAATACAATCAAATGAGACTTCGTGTATTAGCTACACGAGAGGTTTGTCTGATGGTTAATGCTGAGAACAGCTCATGTCACTGTTCTGCAAACCTCAAATATTTAGTTTTAGGTTTTTTCCCCGCATATATATTTCTCAGGATCAACTTCGGTGTTTGGGATAGATTTTCCAAACATTCCAGCTGTAACCCGAGTTAGACAATATTTGATTGGATGATGCTGATAGAAAAGGCTTAGCATTGGTGTAGTCAGTCTCCAACAGCAACCAGTGACCTCGAGAAAAACGAAGGCATGTGTCAAAAACGGCAGTGCCTCGGCCACGTGAGGCTTGCTTCACCTCTGAGTCACCCCTACAGAGCTCCATGTTAAAATGTCCAACACACAGCAGAGACAAACAGCC